CATTCATATGAAAAATGCAAATTTAATACTGTAAATAAAATATAATTCCATGCCCCTATTTAGGCCTGGACAATAAATTTTCCTAAAAGTTATTGCAACAGACAATAAAATTGTTTTTTGGAGATTATTTCCAAATTATCATAATGGTGATGGCGCAGTAATAATGCATGAACATATTCTCATAGATCAAAGAACTTTAAATAATGATGAGCATTTAACACTGAAACAGGAAAATATTTTAGATATTAAAAGTGTGGCAATGCAATGATATAAATACATAAAAAATAATATAATAATGACAATAAAATTAAATAATAACGTTATCTCCACAAATTTACATTTATAAGTCCAAAAATAAACTCAGATTATAAAATACCTTTTTCTTGTCTTATTCGGCCTGAGAGTGAGCTCTGATAAAGATCTTTATAGATCTTATGCAGCCTTTCTATTTTATCTGATAGTTCATTTCGGAGCATTTTAATAATGTCCGCTTTGGCTTCGTCTAATAAAGATTAAATATCTGCGTATTTCCTGATGTAAATTTGATTTGATATCAATCCTTAAATCTTCACGATACATCCGTAGCTCGTTCCTACCGAAAGAGGGATTTCTTCCTCCCTGTTTCCGTCTTGAGTAGACCCCGAACCATCGTTGTTCCGGATGGTGAGGCGTGGAGATTTACTAGCCTTAGCCTCGTTAGCCATGTCGGTTGATGTTTTGCTAGCCGGCCGGGATTCGGTCTGTAAAGTTTTTTGAGTGCATTTCCGACTGTCTTTCATAATCTATGTTGTTCAGAGTTGTTTTTTATGCTAACAAATAGCAATATTTGTCGACCCAGTTTGTATTAAAAACAATTTTAAAAAATTTACAGAGCTGACTCCCTTTGCTGTTCACGCCATTCAACCGGAAGCGGAAGTAGAAAGTTTGTCATTTGAACGAGTTTTGTAAGAGTCTTGAATTTTGTATCCCGGTGACTCATTAAAACGGTTTTGGTGCCACTTTTGAATTTTGTATCATGTTTAACGACTTTGTATCTCGTTTTAAGGAGAAAGTTTATCGTTTTAACGACTCAATATTACTAAAGTTTCTCGTTTTAATGTGTTTTGTATCTCGTTACAATCAATGTGAAGGTCTGACATTAACGTGTTCAATGTTTCGTTATAATGAAGACTTTTTGTTACAATGAGAAACTTTGTTTTACTGCTCCTGAATTTATATTTTAATTTATCAGATAAGCTTCCGTATTTAAAAGATCCATTTTACTTTTTTTTATATCCTTCTTCCCTCCACAAGAGGGAGCTCTCACTGTTTACATCAGTGTTTTAAAAGCTTTGGTTGTACAAACCAAAGCTTTTTTCGTTTTTTGTGGCATTTATAAAAGATAGAAGCAGAGTTATTTGATGTATTTAAAAACAATGTATTCAAGTTAAAATATATATTATTTTCTTTGCAATATTGTGAGTATTTATGTTTTATCTCATGTTTCAATGTCAAATACAAACATTTTCATTCTGAAGCCAAAATGAAATCTTTCTCCAGGTGATCAAACTCAAGCTGAAATGACGCACCTTGAGCGCAACAAAGGTCCAGCTGCGGGTTTTCTGGGTCTGGCGCTCTGTCTGCGGTGTTGCATCAAGCCGCACACCAGGTCGTGCGCGATCATCACGTACAGCAGGAAGATGAGCACAGCGGGATCCATTCAAGCAGAGCTATCGCTCCTCCTGCAAAACCACCAGGTGTCAACAGAACCAGAGGCTGATGGTGATGAAGAGGAGGAGGAGGAGGTGAAGTTACCTTGATTTGCGCTCCAACTTCAGGCGCTCAGCTCGCACGTTTCTCCCCATGACAACGCGCCATGTTCAGAAATCCTCCCCTGATTGTTGTTAAAGGAGGATTTTCATGTTTTTTCTGATTTTTTACCCTGGTTTTCCCTCCTGCCTCCCTCGGAAACAGCAGATGGGGGTCGCGCTGCAGCTGCAGCAGCTCAGAGGGGACACCGGAGGATGTTGCCGTAGAGACGCGACCGTTGCTAAGGGCATCGTGTCGTCATCACTTCATCACGAGGTTCAGCAGAGTAAAACCTGACAGCAGGTTTACAGGCAAGAGGATTTAAAACTCGCTATTCAATATGTGAAGAAGGTTTTACTGGGATTTTATGGACAGAGAGTCAAAAAGTGTTGGTTTTTAAAATTATTTCACAAATAAATGTGAAAACTCAAGTGTGGCATTTTTATTCAGCACCTCTAGATTATGACAAAGTAGGGACAGACTAAGGAAAATATAGAAAATGAGACAAGAAAGTCATATTATGAGAATAAAGTCTAAATAATATAAGAAACAAATTTTATGAATTCATCCTCATAATTAACTTAAAATTGTGTTTTTATCTTCTTATGAGTTTCTTTTAATAATATTATGACTTTATTCTTGTATTATGACTTCATTTGCCTAATTTTACTTTGTGTTTTCTTAACGCAGCCCTAATTCTCCGTTGTAAAATATAATCCACTAACAGCTGCAAACCTTTTGAGAGACGTCAGCTGAACTCCTGCAAAACAAATCATTTTTAACACTTATCCTAAAGTCCATCTGAGTCTGGACTTTGACTAAAATTAAGCTGTTTTTAACCTTTAATGTTGCACAGAAGAGTATTTTTTGCTGTCTATTGCAAGTGATTTCTATTATGTTTGGTGTGGCTCTTTGCCCAGGGTGCCACCTTGTCAGGGGGCGGCATGAGTACTAGAAGGAGAAACCTATCAGTTGCAAACTGAAAATGTTGTCTGTTGCTTTTTGAATATTTATCTGTACATGACAACTAGCTAGTGATGCTGAAGTTGATATTTGATGTCAAATTGGACATTTGACATTTCAAATTTTGAGCTGAAAACAGTTTTAGATGCATAAAATCTAGTTTTTATATTTCTCTGGGATAAAAATATGAAACATCACAATATATGGGAAACAAATGAGTTTACACTCATCAGATATTTCAAAAATACATAATTCAGTCATAAGTCATATGGAGAGACTTGGTCTCAATAAAAAAAACCTAAATGTGTAAATGTAAAGGAAATAAAAGAAAGGAGACCAAAATGAAAGACAAGTGCTTTAAAATCTGCTTTATTTATGATCAGTTTGAAAGAGTCGACCACATCAGCATCAAGGTTTTTAATTTCTTCTCCATTTTTCATCTGAACACAAATATTAATAAAGCTGAAGAATCAGGTTAGAAATTAAAAAACTGCCTGAAAAGTGACATGATCTCCTAACAGCTCTTTGACATCTGGACTATTTTCTACCAGCTTCAGTAAAATGTTTAATTATTTTTGTTTTTATGGTTTTAATGGCTGATGAAAACACAGCTTATCTGAAACAAGCTCCCAAAGTTATTTGTAAGTTAATTTTATCTTATTCCAAGTATACTGATATTTGTACTAGAAATTTAGAGATTTAGTGTTTTTGCAGAGCTGTGGTGATTTATCAGAAGGAAGGTGAAGAAAACGAGACCAACAAACTAAAACCAGTCAGCATTTGGTACAGAAATAGAAAAAGCTAGGAAAATAAAGGATCAAAATCTAATCTAAAACTCCAAATCTGCTCATAACTGCCTGGTTTCCACTTCAGCGCCTGCTAACACAGCAGTGATTTATTATTCAGGCCCGTTTCATGCAGCTCAGCGGTACTGAGAGCTGCGATGTCGCTCCGACGGCCCCGTGCTGAAGGTCCGATCCCCTCAGATCTGCATCAATCAGCGCTCTGGCCTCCTGTTTTCTGTGTAAATGTGTGTTTGTTTACATGTAGGTGTGATCATTTAGGGTGACACAAGCAGTTCTCCTGCTGTGATATCACCTGCATTTCCCAAAACCACCGTTAGGTGGCAGCAAAGCTCCCCGTGTCACTCCTCCTCCTCTCTCTCTCTGACCTCGGCAGAGATCTGCAGGGCAAAGATAATCAGTTAAACTGAAGTAATTTTAAAAAATCATCACTTATTCTTGATATTCTTTTCATGAATCAGCAATTTTACACACGCCTAACGGTTCAAATACAGCAGATTGTATTAGCTAGGGACCAGAACCGACCACAAACAGCTAATATCTGCTTTTAGCTGCTGATTTTAAAAGTTCAAACACCAAATATATTCTCCTGCAGATGAAGAGTGGATCTGAACTTCTTACTTTCACATCTAGAAAATCATATCTGATATTTTAAACTAATGTAGATGCTTTAAGGAATGTACAACCATGCCTTAAAACATAGAAAACTAAAAATGAAGAGTTAAATTCTCACAAAAAATTCAGAAATTTTGAGATTAATCTCAGAAATCTTATGGGGAAAAAACTGGAAATTTCTGAGCTTGAAAAGCCAAACATTTGTGAGAAAAAAAAACTCAGAAATTGTGATATTAATCTCAGAAAGTTTCTAGAAAAATATTGGAAATTTCTATAGTCTGTGCAGAAATTTCTGTAGACGATGAAACAATTCCTGCCTTAGACTATTAGACCATCTTTAATTTCTAAAACAATTTAAAATCACAAAGAAATTACATAACAACCAATAAACAAAATTTACAATAATTTAATGAAGCAATTAAATTATTGCTTCATTAATAATTTAATGAAGCAATAATTTGCTTCACTAAAGTCAACAAACCCCATTGTTGACTTTCTGTAACAATGGGGTTTGAATCGTACACCTAAAAATAAAAAAAGATCTTGCATGTTTGTCTTATTAAAAGTAAGACATCCAATTTTCTAACTTTGGGAGCTTATTTGGAGGAGGGGAAAAGAATAAAGCCTAAATTACCAGAAGATAAACTTTTTGGATCATAATTGGTGCATTTAGTACGTTTAATAAATTAATTAAAAGCAGTTTTGGGTACACCAAAGTTTGCTTTTGAGTAAAAGCTCCTTTTTACTATCAAATTATATAGAATGCTGAAAATGTGGTTATTAAAGACAAATATTTCTATTGCACCAAACATTTTCTATCAAAAAAAGATTTAAATTTGTTTGCAATAATTTTGGACTGATTAATAAAATGTTTCCATTTGTTGCAAACACCTGTGGACAAGCCTGATACCTAAATTAATAGTTGCTGCCCCCTAGTGGTGAATTTGTTTTCAACAGTATAAACTGAGTTGAATAAAACTCACAGAGATGTTGTTGAATCCTGCAGCCATTGGATGGTTTTGTCTTGGAGGAACGTCCACAGGATCCTCCTGAGAGGCAATTTAACAAAAATCAAACAGGTTTCAGGAGAGAAAAAAGGTGAGAAAAGGTCAAATGATTGGATTTATTGGGATGTTTTAACTCACTGGAACATATCCTTCGTTACTAATGCCCACAGAGAGCGATGGAGCCTTGGCGTCTGGTTTGGTTCGCAGGTAGAAGACGAGCAGAGCGACCAGGGTGCCGATCAGCAGCACGACTACGATCACAGAGGCAGCGATTCCTCCGGCATTGTCCGGCTTCGAGGCTGAAAGAGAGACGAGATCATTTACTCCTAGAAAAGCTGCCAAAAACTACAACAAACATGTTGGTATCTCTTAAACAGGCTAGGATATGTCTGTGGGCTATATAAAACCTGTTTATTACAATTTTTGCACAAAATCATTTTTAGATAATGAGATTTCGATCTGATCACTTCTTTCTATTCTAACTGTTTTAAAGCGTCTTGTCACTTTAAATCCAAATAAGCTGCTGCTGGCCACGCTCTCCCACCTCCGACTCTTACACCTAAAAATGGATATAAACAGATCTGCAATATTAGAACCATACATCTTTGAAAAGCAGAAGTAGCGCCTCCTGCACAACCAACGAGAATGCAGCAAGTGGTTTCTGGATGCTATGTCAACAACAAAGCACTTATCTTTCCCAGCAGCCGTTGTACAGCGGTAAAACCAGCTGACCAAACATACTGGAGTTCCGCATGGTTGCTAGGTAACGCTGCAGTGCCTGTCAAACTCAGGAAGGTTTTGAAATGGCTCATTTTTCAGACACCAAAAACCATAAACTTATTGCCAAAAAAAACAGATGGGTGTTTTTTTTTTGTCATCATCAAGAAAGTACCACAAAATATTGTGATAAAACTAAGAATATATCACTCTCATTTAAACAGAAGAGAAAATATTAAAACATAAAGTTTTTTAAGCATTAATTGTAAATGATCATGGCAATGATAAATCAAAATTAAATGATAAACGATACGATAAATTCCCCGATTTCCAGTCTTACTTGGTTTAGTGACTCTGGTGGCGCAGTCGAACCCGACGGTGTACTCGATGTCATCCAGAGCTACAAAGCCTGATGTTCCTTTGACGCCTTCAAACACAATCTGTTAAAAAGAAGAACAAAATGCAGCAGAGATGTCAGCTTTGACATTCCTTAATGACTTACAGACATGTTTCATGTTATTACTTACATCCAACACAGGAGGGCAAAAACATTTTTTTACTTGCCATTAATCGCCGCGCTGCCGCAGCAGAACAACTCTGTTAATAAATGAAACCTAGAGATCTAGCTTTTATTAATCTAGTGGACATAGCCTCATTAAATAAGGCATAAAACTGTTTAAAAATAACTCAAAACCACTCATATTCTTTTTTTAATCACTGTGTATCAGCCATACTACACGCAAACCTGTTGCCATAGCAACTGGCTGACACCAGCTCTGCTAATGTATCAGTATTCAACACCAAAGAACACGCAAACATGTCCCACACAAACAACTACAACGGCATATTAGGGAAACTGTTAAACAGCACAAAGAAAAAAAACTCCAATTCTGAACTGAAACACCGATTTCAGCAGCACATTTACAGGCTAAAGTTGTCAAGCTATGCTAGTGATGCTAGCATAGTTAACTTCCTTCTCTTTTGCTTTTTTATTAAAACTTTCCACTGACATTGTTATCTAGTTGTTATAGTGTTGATAATTAGTAGCAAAGCACTGCGTCCTTTTCACTTTTATATATCAGGTGTACATTTAAGATTCAGTGCGACAACTAAACCGTTAATCTTCAGCAGTCGTCGTCATCGTCAGCCGTGTGACGTCACATTCCAAGTTAGGAGTTTTCTGGAAGGTCTGACCTGGTATCCCTCACGAGACGTGATGTTCAGTTCAAAATGTCTCCAGTGTCCGCTGAGCTCGTTCACGATCAGCTGCTGGGTGATGAGACCTCCAGACAGGCTCCACACCCTCAGCTGGCAGTCCGCTGGGAACATTTAGCCAAACATGACGCATCCGACCATCAGACGCTAACAGTTATTAAAACAGCAGCTCTTACATGACTGGGGCTTGTAGGCCCAGAACCTCAGACAGGTGGGCTGAACCGGTGGCAGCTGAGGGCTCACCAGCCAGGCGTTTTGATTGGCTGCTGTCCGGTTGCTGCTTGGGAAGAACAGGAAGTGACCTGGAGGCAAAGTTAGACGCGTTAGAGTTTATCCACTTTTTCAACAGTAAAATTCAAACACTTTTCAAGAATTTTCCAGGTATTCCAGCACAACATTGAGCCATATTTTAGTTAATTGGTTTTGTTTGTATCTCCATTTTCAATTTACTTGACCATTTATTACTTTTATTAATAATATTTTCAGACAGTTTTCTAGTAAAATATAACTAAGTTTTATGCTTTGAAATGTCTCTCTTTAACACAACCTTCACACTTGACTGGTCTGAGAAAGTTAAAAAAAAAATCTCAAAATCTTCTAAGTTTTATGTCATCCAGCAAATATAAATAATTTTGGTATTTCTAACTAAAAAAAGAAATATTTAATTTGATTTAGCTTCAGACAGAGAGAAAAAAAATGTGTCTTTTTATTCTGTGTGCATAAATATCTGTAGATAACATTTTACAAATTTAGACTTTTAACCAACATTATAATAAAACTGAATATCAAACACTTTTCAAGGACTTTGGATAGAAATCAGGCATTTTTTGAACCTGGAAAAACTCCTAAATAAAATCCAAGCATTTCAGTTCAACCCTGACTTTGGATCAGAACCAGAACAGAACCTCTTTAAAAACCGATCAAAGCAGCTCCAGTGCTGTTGTCTTCCTCTCTGACCTTTCTCTGTTCCCAGTGTGTGGTCTTCAGGCGGGACGGGATAATGCTTTTCCTTCTCCGGACTGGTCAGCTCCCAGTCCAGCTTCTCCCGTTCTCTGTCCTGGATGTTGATCCAGCTGCACATCCCGTTCTCCAGACTGCACTTGGACCCTGAGGCAGAAAATCAGAACCTCAATATGCATGAAGTTCAAACTTTTCCTCTGAGGAAATCTGACATTACTGGTGGTTCCATGTGTCACATCAGATGCTCTTTCTTTCTGAGGCTGGATTAATGTCCAGCCTCAGAAAGAAAATTCTGCTTGTTTTCTTCTCCATACTTTTAACGTGACCTGAGTCAAATCTAACAAAATTGGTGTCAAATGTTTGTGCTGCGTTTGTGCAGTAAATTAATTTTTTTGTGGTGTTCACATTTATATACTCAAGCAAATTTGGTGTGATGCAGCTCAGCTACATTTGTGCAGCAAAAAATGTTTGTGCTGCTTTTGCTTTCAAGTTATTGCTGTTGACCTCTGATGATAACTTCTTTATTCATATTTTTAAAATGATAGCGGCACAAATTAAAAATTTTGCTGCACAAACGTTTGACACCAATGCTGTTAGGTTTGAAGAAGGTGAGCAGAGTCGTCCTCTCTCAGCTCCTGACTCGGATCAAAACAAACCTTGGTCTTCACATGGATGAGCCGAGACTGTGATGTCATCAACAGCAACGTGGGAACCTCGACTTCCTGATCCGATGACCTCAAACTCCAACTGTGGAGCAAAACCGAGTGAGACACCAACCCGACTGGGGAAGAAATGCTCTCTGAAGTCGCTCTGTACCTGCCAGGACACAAGGCCAACGGAGATGTTCCCGTTGGCGTGACGCCAGTCGTCTCCCTCATTCAGGTTCTCAGAGAAGATCGAGACTCTCTCTCCCTTCTCGGGTTTGACGTAGACCGTAAAGAAGGCTGGAAGGTAAACACCCCGCAGCGATTATAGAAGCAGAAAAACATTTATGTACAAATATAAAATAAAGCAAAGGAAAAAAGAGAAATAGTGAAGTGATTTGACAGAAAGTAGCTTTTTTAGGCTATGTTCACAATAAGTAAGCATGTTTCTTTGCACGGTCGTTCATATTAAATCCAACCGCAATGAGACGTCTGTATGAACTCTTTATGACTCCAGAGGAAGAACTGTGACATTTTTGAAATTTAAAATTCATTAAAAACACATTAATTTAACATTTTTGTAAATGAGCCAGAATTAGACAAAAGCCTATTTTTATGGCCATTGTTTCTGAGAGATTTTTCTAGCTAAAAACAGACAAACGTTACACAAAACAAGGCTAAAAACGACTTAACTAAACATGTTTTGACTTAAAACAAACAGAAGACATAAAATACAGAAAACTACAATAGATTCATCACAAAAAGTCTAAGAAATAACAGATTATAACAAGACGAAGGGAGCTAAGGAAAAGAAAGCACAGCTAACAAGAAGAGATTTTTGTGGAGCGTTGACCATAACGTCTGTTTGGATGTGGAGTCAGAGCTCAGAGTGGTGGGGATGTGGTTCCACTAAAAGCAGATCTGGATCACATGACCTGCTGTGTGAACGCAGCCTTGCAGGTAAAACACTCACCTGGGTTCCCTCCTGTCATGTGATACCAGAAGCTGACACATTCGGGTTTGGTGGTTCCTTGTCGGACGGGGGAGACGAGCACAGCGGCGCTGCGGGGAGGCAGAATGTCAGCGTCTGTGTTGACCATCATGTAGTAACCTGGACACAGACAGCAGGACGGGATAAATCTCCAGTTTCCCTGTTTTCTGTCCTCTGATGGGGTTCTGCTGACCTAGCTCGGTCCCCAAAGTGTGGTCTGTTTTGGGTCCGTTCGTCGTAGTGGTCTGTCCGTTCCTGTGGAGCCAGTCTATGGCGCCGTAACTGCTGTAGCCACACTTCTGGCCTTCAAAGGAGCATTTTCTGGGTATGGCACACGGGCCGTCCACAAACGCCACGTCGTCGATGGCAACCTGGCCGTCGAAACCGGAACGAACTGCTTCGAACATCAACTGTTGGGGGACGACGAAGATTTTAAAGGTTTACTCTGTTGTATCTATACAGATGGAGCAGATTATTTCACTTATAAGAAGACATTTCTCATAAGAATTTTGATTTATCGTTATGATAAATTTAACTTATTGATGAAAAATAAAAAATTTACAGTATAATTGGAAATGTTAGTTTATCACTGTTAACCGAGAGCATCAATCCATATCAATAATGTGAAAATATGATTAAATGCAGTTACTGTGTGCAGGTTAGAGACGTTTTGAAGAAGCCTGTTTCAAATGAGAATGTTTTTCAAGAACAATATCTGTGTGCTACAGTTAACTAAAAAATTAGTGATAAATAAATATTGAGATAAAATTCTCAGTCCATATTGCCCAACCCTAATCAGTAGTCAGGTTACTTTTTAAAGGCAACTCTGCCAACACATTTAGTTTTCATCTAAAAGTTATTTATTGTTTCCTGTCTGCATGTGATACAAAACATTTTGCTGGAACTCAGCTTTGGTTGCTAGGTGACGGACTGGGGTTGCTAGGTGACGGGCTGAGCTTCTCTGGCGTTGCTAGGTAACGGGGCAGTCCCTGCTGGTTTGTGACATTCTGGAGGTTTCATATTCCAAAAAAAAGTTTTATTGCCAAAACATGCATTGGTGTTTTCTTTTTGTTCTTTTTTAAAGTTTCTGTGCCGTTTTTAGACGCAGTAGAGACTCAAATGAAAGTACAAAAATGTACAAAATTTGAATTTTGCATAACAATATTTTTCGATCAACAACTAAAATCTGAAAACTGCTTTCTGTAATTTCTCAGGTTACATCTGATCATCTTAGACTTTCCAGCAGAAAAGAAAAGCTTGTTTGGATTTGACTGAATGGTTTGACACCTGAAAGTTTGTGTTTTGCTGCGGTACTGGGCAGTGCGCTTCGTGCCAATCGTTGCCGTGAGCGCCGCTGCGGGTCCACAGTAAGACCTCGTATCCGAGGCCATCGGTCAGCTTCACGTTCAGAGCACCTGGATGGGAACAGGAAGTTAGAGTCATCATTTATCCCTGAGGTGACGTGCATGTCAGGAGATCAGAACATCAGTTAGCTCTGCGTCAGCTCACCTGCGTTCGGCCCGTAGAGTTTGTAGTAGAAGGTCAGGCAGCTCTCTGTGGGAGTGGGCTGCTGTGGGAACGACAGCAGGCGTCCAAACGCTCCACGCAGCGAAGGACTCCACATGTCCACCACCAGGCTGGAGCCTGAGCAGCAGCAGGATTACACACAGGAGTTCAGAGCTCACTCACTAAATTACAATATCGGTGAAAGATTATTGATTTATTATAATAATTCAATCAGAAAGTGAAACTCGTATGTTAATTATTAACCACATAGTGATACATTTATATTGTCCAATAAAAATATATAATTTTTAATACAAAATTTTTATTTTTACAGCTTTTATTTTTTATATATAATTTTTTTTATAAAAATAAAAATTATATATTTTTTTTTAAAAAATAAAAAGGTATATTTTTCATTTTTAAGTTGATATTACTCATGGGCCACAAATGATTTTTTTCCCCAATTAAAGATATAAAAATAAATGTTTTCTAGCTGTTCCCAAATTATGATGCGGCATTAGAGCCACGGTAAGAAAATAACAAATAAATAAAAATATAAGCATAAATGAAGTCAAAATAATATGGGAATAAGACATTGTATTACAAATATTATGAATTTATTTTTGAAATATTATGGCTTTGTTTTCATATGATTTTATTCTTTATTATTGTAATATTGTGACTTTATTCTTGTAAATTTATTATTTTATTCTCACGGTTTTATTTTTTCTTAATATGGTTCTAATACTCCATGGTAAGCAATAAATTAAATTCAGTATTTAATATTTAGTTTTTAAGGCTTTAAATACCTTAGAAACACTTTATTTAACTTTATTTTCTTATTTTACTTCTGTTTTATTCATCCTCCAATGAAAGATTCGTTCACTATAGATAAAGGTTTTAGAATCAATAGAAGTGGTAAACATTTTATAACCTGAAGAAATATTTTTGTACAAAACTATTCAATTCCTTCACATGTTGAGGTTTTTCTACAAGTGATAATAAAAGTAAAAATGAAGTCTGGTAAAAAAGTATTTGTTCCTTTATAATCTATGACCTCACCGACTCCGATGCTGTGATCCATCCCAGTGACCACAGACCAGTCAAAGTTGTCACTGTTGTCCTGATACCAAGCGCAGAGTCCGTCCTCGAAGTTACACGACGGCCCTGTCATCCAGAGAAGTTCATTTACTTCAAACATTCGTTATTTTTAAATTTACAAAGTGTTACCTGTCGGTAAAGACGGAGTGTAGTCGGCGTGGCAGCTGATGAAGCGAACGTTCCTCACTTTGATCCAAGCAAAAGGCTGAACTTCCACAGCTCGAGCTTCAAATGTTAGCTGGTTAAAAAAGAGGATTAGCTGTTTTGATACTGACGGACAGGGAGTTACGATACATCTACAGTATATTTATTAAGTGTACAGACCCCTGCCAAAATGCTAGGTTTTTGTTGACGTTAGTTCTACTAGCATAAGGCGCTATAAGCGAAAGAGCTAAATTGTCTCAACAACAGGTGTTACAACACAGTACATTCATGTAAGTGGAGTATTCTTTGTTTGTTATTGATATGTTTGCCATTTACACAGCAATAAAGATACTTTGTAAAATCTGATCATGATCAGAGGAAACGAAACTGCCGTCTTCACGTCCTTCAAAATAAGAGCATGACTATAAACAGCTAAGAATTCTTAAAAGTCAATAGCCAAAACTTCAACCCATATGTTGAATATTATTAAAATGAAGCTTTACAAAACAGCTGAATTAATTAGAGTTTTAAAGTTTATCTGGAAAAACTGACTTAGCTAAAACGCTAAAGAGTTACACAAAAAATTAGCTCTGTCCAAAATGTTTTTAAAAGTTTAATTTGATATAGGCTTGGCTGGGGTTGCTAGGTAACAGGCTGGGCTTGGCTGGGGTTGCTAGGTAACGTCATAGTTCTTGTCCAATGTGACTTATCAGGAGGTTTTTGAAACAGCTCCTTTTCCAGACACCAAAAAAAAGTAAAAAATTGACAAAAAAAAAAACAAATGTTTTTTTTTTTTTTTTTAATCGCTTGAGGGTTTTTTTTTTTTTAGAAGCAGCTGAAACCCAAATGGAAGAATAAAAATATGAAAAATGTGAATTATGTACAGTAGGTCTGAAGCCTGACCTGGAAGCGATGTTTCCTGACTCCTATAGGAACGTCGGCGTGTTGCCAGGTCTCCTCCTCGTCTCCTGCTCCTGTTTTCCCACTGAACTCCCACAGCTTAGGCCTCACTCCCAGCAAGCTGTCGACCACTCTGACAGAAAGCTCACCTGTACCACAGACAGACTTTCACTGCTGGGAAGAGAAAACGCTGCAAATTTCACACGCGGGATGGGAAATTACCGATATGATCCAAACTCCCAGTGAGCGCAAAGTCAAAGCTCAGGTTACAAGCCGGACCGGTGGGGCCCAGGAGGGGAGTCCGAGTCTGGGCCTCAGTTAGCTGCTGACCTGCAGCCTCAGCTACATACAGGAACTCTGCTTTGAATCAAGAAGATAAATTAAACATTAATACCACACATTATTAGAGACACAGAATCCATCAGTTAACTCAGACGCCACAGTTTGTACCTCCAGTTGTTGAACTTTTATCCAGCAGCCAACCTTGACTCCCAATACTGGAGTCAGTCCAGCCTAAACTGCCGTCAGGATAGGAGAAATCCCCTGCAGCAACGATCCAAGAAGAGGTGAAACTTTGTCTGCATGGCTAAACAAAGACTTCTTTTATCAGATCTACCACGGCACCATTGTAGATGGAGAAAGGGAGGAAATTTCAGCCAAAAAAATCTTCTAGGAAAAACTTGGAAATTTTTGAGTTTCAATAGGCAATGTTTTTGACTTTTGAAATTTCCACATTTTTCTACAAAATTTCTAAGATTAATGTCAAAATTTCTGATTATTTTCTTGCAAATTTTTGACTTTTCAAACTCTAAAATTAAAAAAAATTCTAGAAAATTTCTCAAATCTATCTCAACATTTCTGAATTGTTTTGTGTAAATTTACTCCTTTTATTTTCCATTTACAGCATAATGGCCTTAATACATCATTGTACAGATCCTTCAGTTTAAAATAAACAAACTCACCGCATTTGGCTTCGTCCTCTGCAGCATCGCAGTCAGCCTGAAAATCACACATCTTGTCTGGGTCATCAATGCAAGGATGCTTTGGAGGGTCGGGGAAATCTTCCAGGGTGGTGTTATCTATTTAGTGCAGCAGATAATGAAACATTTTAGAAAAGATTTTCACAAAAACCTAACTCGGCACAGATGTTTCTAAGGATTTGCTTCTTCACAAAAAAACATTAGCCAGTGAAAAATTCAAGATGGCTGCCATGGTCTTCAAGGAAAATTTATTTTTGCAATAAATTTTCCAATATTTATCACAGATGAACACGTCTTCTCTCAAATCATTCATAACTGAATGCATAAAAATCCTATTTTCTGATCATTTTTTGATTTTTCAAAATGGCCAACATGATTAGTGTTTGCAATCAAAGCCATATAAATCATCATATCTATTTTATTGATCTTGTCGTCTTTTTCGGCGGACATTTTTTTAAATGGCTGTAATACAAAGTATATTGCCAGTCATGGGCACAGCTACCCAAAAAGTTAGGCTCACAAATCACTAATTCGCTAAATAAAAACCTTAACTACGCTAATGCTAATGCTTGTAGCAGGAAGCAAATTAGTAAAAACTAACGATAAACCACCCCAAAAATGATCAAAAGCTAATGCTAAAAAACACATAATAGAAAATTTAAGGATATTTTTACTGATTTCTTTGTTGAATTTATTTACATTGCTTACATTTTGTCTTATCTTAGAGATAATCTCACCAGATGCATTGCGGCATTCAGGGGATAACACGATGCTGTCGACTGCGATTCCTCCATAGTCAAAGTCTCTGATGGCCGCCATGATGAGAATCTGTAGAGGTTTAACAGAATAAAAGATAACAACTTATATTTTCAACATATAATCAAACGTTTTCACCCCTTTTTTGGCTTTTACAAAATGTGTTAAACATTTTTTAAAGAAAAAAATACCTTTAATGTCAAACTGAAAATGGTTTTTACACAAAGACGACATTTAAATAAAAATAACATTAAAAAGTGATGCATTGAGTGTGCTGTGGTGGCAGGGTTGGCCCAGACGGCCATTTTTCACCATCAGTCCTTACACTGATGGTGAAAGTCAGCGGCGGCCATTTTGTATCATCTGCATGTCTTTCATTGTTATGGAACATTATTTCTGACTAAAGTAATGGTATTATCTTCTGTACCATTATTTATGGTAGCTTCATGTCTTACCTGGAAGGTGTAGTTGGACACAATCTCCACCTCCGCCTTCACCCACAGGTCTCCTAAAGCTCCGCCCCTTTCCCAGACCGGGTAGATGAGCCGGTCCGCCACCAGCACCGTCAGCCCGCCGGACCGCGGCCCGAACTGGTGAGTGTACATGACCATCTACGGAAAACCAACAGAGCCAAAAACATATAAATAAACTGAACCCAGAAAGACCGACCGACCGTCCATCCGTCTCATTTGTATTTTGTCATTAAATGTTAATTGAAATGAAGCTAAATAATTTCTAAAGCTGTAATCCAGCCTGTCTGCAGCGTTTCAAACCCACCTTACATGGATGCGAGCTGTTAGTTGGTTGAAGTCTTGGGCTCTGAAAAGCCGCCCAGTCCATGGTGAGACCGTCGTCAGGCATGGTGACGTACAGGAAGTACCCTGCCGTAAAAACAGCAATCAAAGGTTTTAGAACGGCACCAAAAGGTTCTGTAGGCTGTAATTATTCTGGACCAGTTCAGAACTGGTTAAAGATTTAAACTTCGGGGGAATCTGACCAGGTTAACAGTGAAACTCAATAATAATAACAAGAATCACCTGATGCTGTATTTTTGGAGTGATCTCTGCCTGGACCTTTCGAAGGATCGGTTCTGGAGATGTTCTCCTGATTTGTTCTGATCCATTTGAGTTTGGAAAACGATCTCAGGTCCCAGTCACACAGATCCTCCTCAAAGTCACAGCGGTAGTAACCATCTGAAGGATAAATCAAAACAAATCCCAGTCAGTGTTTCGGCTGCTCTGCAGTTTTCTGATGACATGTTGTCATTTCGTACCGCAGGGCGCCTCGTCGCTGCCATCGCCGCAGTCGTCCGTACCGTCACAGAGCTGCCGCTGCTCCACGCAGCCTCCACCACCACACGCCACCATCCCTGCTGAGCAGTTGGTCCCAGCAGGGGGCGCTGTCGGATGAAACAGATAGAAACAAATCAGTGAACTGTTTAGATCATGGTTTTCTGTTCTGATTAGTCAAACTCACAGGGCAGAGCGCAGCCCAGGAACTCCAGCTGGTCTATAGCGACGTCTCCGTTTTGTCCCGCTGAGCGCGCCGAGTGGAGATGGATCCGGAAAGGGGAGGAAATGCGGCCCAGGAAGACAGTGGCTTCCCTCCAGCTGCGGGCGCTGGAGGCCTCTGGGCGCCACACGACGGCCCCCTGAGAGTCCTTGTGGAGGATCGAAGCCCACAGGGGAGTTGGACCTAAACCCGTGTGTCCTGTGGTTAAAATATACGTCAACACAACGAATGTCAACGATGACAAAAAGATGAATCTGGTAAGTCCACACTTAACACCAGTCCTGGTAAAGATATGAACCATCATCCCTCTCAGAGAGCTAGTCTTTAATTTAGAAGAGAAACAAGCCCACAGCATCACATGTCTCCACCATGCTTTGTAGTGGACATTATATGCTTTTCTGATGTCAGAACTTTTTCCATTAAGCTCAGTTTTATTCAGACCAAAGATAACATCTGCAGCTCTACACCAAAGTTAAATATGAAGAATTACAACATCCACTACTATAGATCTACAAGATCAGAACTCAGAAACTCAATGGATGGATGGATGGATGACTTAGTTTCTCTGAACTGTGGCTCCAGTCTATAGAAACATTTATAGTTCTCCTCTTTCAGTCTCTCTGTTTAAAGCTCACATTTCTCCAAATCCTTCATTGTAACTAAATGTTCCTGCAGTTTATAAGATAAAAGATTTTCAAGCTTTTCACATGTTTTTTCATCTCTACCAGTGAATGTTTAGGGTGTTTCAGTCGTTGTTTACCAGTCCGGCCAACGCTGAGCAGTCGGCGGTTACCTGAGTCCCACAGGAAGTATCTGAGTCGCAGGCGGCACGTTGGCGAAGAGCCCTTTATCTCCGGAGAGATTAACACTGAACTCTGAACAGACTGTGCCCTCACTGCACTCACTGACATGAACCAGCCTGGAGGGCAGGAGACAATAAATGTTTTCATTTAAGATATGAAGATTGAAGTTTACAGCAGGAACTGTTCTAAGGATGCTTCATGCTACCAGCTAACATTTATGGCTTTATTATCACCTGATATGTTAATATCAACATATTTTATTTACAGTGCCTTTGAAATGTATTGTACCGCTTGAACATTTTGTGATGTCACAACCAGAAACTTTATTGTATTTTTCATCATGTTTTGAAATGCAGACATGTCAAGTTTTGAATAGAAGGATGCTCCGTACAAAGTACATGCCACACCATTCAGATTTTTATGAATTAAAAATTAAGGTGAAGACAAATGTTTAAAATATTTATTGATGAGTTAGAGGAATTTAAATATTGTTTATTATCCATTTCCATATTAGTATATTTTTGTCAACTTCGTGTGTATGAAAAAATTTAAATGACTTAATTTTTTTAATAAAATTATTTTTGCAAACCATGCATAATTTTCACGTTACTTCATAATGATGCATTTGCCCGTCACATAGAATGGTAAAAATACAAACACATTTTTAATGGTAATGTAAGAAAGGTTTATGGGGTGTCCATAGTTTTGTAAGGCACTGCAAACAAAAGTACATCAGTAACAAATAATCAGGGATAAACATATTGAGAAAATATTGTTTTAAGATCTTTAGACAACTAACATAATGTAACATAATGAATATTTTGAGACAAATTTAAAGATAAAATAGAGTATTTTCAGTTTCTTGGCAAAATTTGTCCAGACGTATTCAGCAAGCCTATTGTTTCTGTGTTAAGTAAAATTTTAGAAAATGTAACTTTGCACCTGTGGCTGTGCCGGTGGTGTAGTCCGAAGTCGGCCCGCTGTCCGGCAGCTCGTCTCCGCTCTGAACCCGCTGCCATTTGTATTCCTCACCAAGAGATTCAATATTCCATCCACAAACTCCCTCGTCCTCAAAGTCACACTCAAACGATTTCCCAGAGTACCCTTGAGAGTTTAGTTTAAAAAAAAAACGTCATCAATCCACATTTAATCAGACTGCTAATGGCTAGACTGTAGCAGCCGGTAGTAAGTAGGCTAACGGCTAGTAGCTTAAACTTACCACAGTTTTGCTCGTCGCTACAGTCGGAACAATCACATACAAAGTCACATTTCCCTTCAGGAGTCTCACACCGTGAAGACCCCGAAGCAAAAACTGCGCGAAAAGATAAAATATCCAGAGAAATTTAATCAGTAGCTGGATAGATATTATCAACAAGTGTCAACATATTCACTTTACAAGAGTTTATTTTTGCTAACGCTATGAAGGTAGACATTTTGTTAACTATAAACAATTTAAAACATATATGTTTTTATTCTTAAACGGATTTTAAGGGTATTATTACAAACAAAAACAATTAGGTGGAAGTTCCCACCTTGAGGCAAGCTAAGCTAATGATGCTAACCTACATTCTGTTTAGCTAATTTAAGCAGTGGTTTCAAGAGTTATCTCCCATTATAATGGGTCAAACTTACTTTTAACTTGTAGTATGTATGTATAATTTATTCATTTTACTTTGTAGATTTGACATATGAGTAGACTGGCAATTCAGAAAGCACAGTATTAGAAACTTTTGAATTGTTTTCTGGTATTTTGTTTTGCTATTATAACTTCATAAACAGATGCTAAAATTTTCTATCCCGGGCAATAATTTTTCCCCTCCTTAGAAAACCACATATGAATCAAATTATAAAATCAAACATAATATTTGTTTGTAACTTTGTTAGTTTGCTAATTAAGCTATATGAGCATTCACACATAATTTGATTAGCAAAAATAATAGCACCTAAAATTAATTGTCATAAATATACCAAAAGTATTAGTTGTCTCTTTTTAAATAAAATATAATATAGTTTTTCTATGAACTGCAACTAAATTTTACAGGGGAAATACTCATAATTAAGCTGGCATCATTCTGACTTGCTTATATTTAGTTCTAGGATTAGCCTCCATATTTGAATTAAATTTAATCAAAATAAAAAAAAATTCCTTTATCAGGACAGTTTTGTTTACAGATGTATGGCCTAGCATGCTCTTGGCTAAACAATTCTGATTAAATTAGTTACAAAATAAGATGCTTTTTTACTAGCTAGCTTAGCAGCAGCTACAAGCAGCTGTTAGCTTAACACAGGAAAGCTGTTAGCCTAATTCCTTCATTTCCTTATGATTCTCCAAACTAATATGTATCTAAATGCTGCACTGTTTGGTTTAACATCCTATGTGAATCAAATCTATTTAAAGAACAAATACATTCAAAGAAGTATTTTGTACTTTTGACGCTTGCCCTAAATATCTTACATGAAGCTCTCCCAAACTCTTTATCAAGATATTTCCAAATATTTATGACGCAGAATGCTGCAGCCTCAAAGGCCAGAGTATTAAACATACTTTTCACATTTCTACATTAAAGTGTCTAATTGATCTGATGCTTCTAATATGAAATGTCATGTTTTCATTTACTGTAAGTGGAAAATCATCATATTTAGCAGAAATAAAGGTCTTATTTGTATAGCACATTTCAGCAGCAAGGCATTTCAAACATCAGTCTGTGTGTATTTGATCTATATTCCTGAAATATTTTTGCAATAACATCCTAATCTATTAAATATGACTATAGATACTCTTTGCAAACCAGTATATTCCATTTATTTGACTTTTTTCCAATGTTTTAAGCAAAATAATTGTTCATATTTGAATTGTTGACTTTAAACAAACTTAAATCTTTCTGAAAAGTTGCTTCTAAGTAGTGTTTGTCTTATTTTGAGTGCAATAATATATTTGGACAAGACAAAAAATACTTGGAAAGATGTAGTGCTTTTGCAGTGACATATTCAGCAAATAGGTCACCCATAATTTATGATATAAATGGTGCAATAAAGTTTTGACATCTCAATAAACCCATAAATCTTTCTGGCTGCAACAATGTAACCAACTTCTAAGAGTCTGACTCTCTTTCATTTTGATTATTTGAAGCTAATATCAACTCTGAGTGTTAATTTTTTCATTTTAATAAAAGTTAAACAATTTTCAACCACCTTTATTAAAAAAGTAATTTTGAATTTGCTCTTACCACGCTGAAAACATAACAGCAACAGGACGGTCAGGCGCCAAAAACGCAGCATATTTTCTCTTCCTTCACATCTCAGTCTGAAAACTGTTTGTGGAAATTTCACCAGCCGATCCCGACCTTTATTTCTCAGAGATAACAGGCGGACTTTAAAATTACCCAGCATGCAAGTGACAACCATAAAACACCCCCCAAAGAACAGCGAACATCCGTATATTGCTCAAGAGATGCACATGTACGTGCTGAAAGTGAATGTAATAAATACTAAGTTTAATATACCATAAAGGAAATTGCTTTTTTTTATGTTTCTTTAATGACTTCCTCCCACCTGTGTGGCGATTCAGCACATGTACAAGACACTGTAAATAACAATATCTTATCTGATTCAGCAGTATCTTCACAAGATCTTTGATTTCAGCTCTGAAGTCAATTTTCACATTTTGCATTCCTGTGCAAATCAGTTCAGTTCTCATCTCCCTTTAGTGTTCTGCCTGGATTTTCTCTCATTGACTTGGATTTCTCCGGTAGAATTTAAACCGGGCCAATCAGGAAACAGAAGGAGACATTGTCAACGATAATGTTGATTTTCTGTGATGTTTTAGAGTTGTAGTCTGACTGTACTTTTAGCAATGGCAGCAGAGGAAGTAAACGAAACCATTCAGTCCGTGTTGGCCACGGTTCCAAATATTAACAGCCATCTTTATTTGGCTTATCCCTTCTCTCTTGGCAATCTCATAACAATGACTATGAAAGTTGAAATTATTTCTTTTGAAAACGGAATTAAGACTTCTTGTTGGACTTTTATTTTTTGTTTCTTGATAGAAATGGGCTTCTGTAGAGAAGAGATGTTAAAGAACAGAACAGATTTTCTACACTAAACCACATTTTTTTGTTGCATAAACATGTGAAAATATGAATATTTGGTCAACTACTAAGTGTTTTGACTTTATTTGAAAACAAGAAGCAGTTGTTCATGAAGTGGATTTAAAACTTTTTCAGAACCTCAGAAACTTTTATTGCTGTATTTCAAAGTTGTTTGTTCTGATTTCCCAATTTGAAATACAGGAAAAACTGCCTTGAATTTGAGATTCTTACTGGAAAAGTTGGAAATCTCATATTCAGTATATTTGCTGTTGTGCATCGTTATTATTGGTCATTTTATTTAAATGCATAGAAAGTACAGAAATATGTCGTGATTTTTCCAATAATTTTCACATTAAAAGAACCAAAATCCAAAGTAAATTTAATTGAAGTTTTTTATATTCAGAAATATGAAATAATGCATGAAACAAAATGAATCAGAGAACAATTACATCAAATTTAAACAAAAAAAACTATTTTGTTAATTATTTATTACCTTTACCACAGAAGTTAAACTCTTTTTCAGTAACACAAGGTAACATAATATTCACCCTGTAAAACCATTTTCCCCCCTCATAATCTGGACTTAAAACCCGGTTATGCTAATATTTAGCTCGTATTTTGAATATTAGCACAACTGAAGGAGGTTGTAAAAACAGTAAATGAGATTTAACACTGACGTATCAAGTCAACAATGACAATCATGCATTAGTTGTCCCATCTTGATGCAGTGAATAGTGGATGAATTGTTGGTCTATCAGAGTTTCAACAGGTTGAAACTGAATGAAAGTCCAGAATATTCAATGCTATTTATTTCAGTAGCCTTCGTTATCCCAGGTCACCTCGTAGTCTGGGTACTTCTCCTTCAGTTTCTCTGTGGTCTCTGCATGGTTTGCTCTTCCATAGCCCTGAAACAACAAGCCAAACATTAACTCCAGTCACAGTAAAAGTAATTTAAAATAAAGCATTAATTCAAGCCACATTGTTTCTCCGTACCAAGGAGTATCCGTACACATGGATCTTCTTGGCGTCTGGATTATGTTTTATCCTGCCTCCTCCGATGCACTCGCAGTCCAGCAGGCCTCCGTCCTCCAGCTCCGCAGAAACCCTATCGTAGATATCAGCTGCAAATAGGAAATAGAGTACTTTATCAAATATTATGCACAAACTGAAATAAAAAAAAGCAATTATCACTTTTACAGGTTTAGATTTTGTTATGGACGAACACAAAAAAAGCCATTTTGTATTCTGTTTTGTTTAAATTTCCTAGGAAATTTCATGATTTGATGTTTTATACCATGTGCAGATATTTTGTCAATTAGTAAATCTTTAAATTGTCATGTAGAAAATAAAAATATAATTTCTTTTTGATACTTTGGACAAAAAACTAAAATCAGAGTCAATATTGAGGTCAACTTTTTAAATTTTCAGGCTTTGATAATACCAAACCCTTAAAAAGAAAAGCGAAACAAACAAAAATATAAAATTATCGGGAAGGGGAAAAAGCACAACAATAAGAAATCTTAAATGTAATTTAAGGAGTTAATTAAGAATATTCCAGAATATACCTTATAATCTTAAATTTATGTTATTATTTACATTATTATAATTGCTGTCAATAAGACAGCAATTGCTAAAAATGGTAATTAAGGAATTAAAAATAAATACGTCTTTATTTTGAGACCAAAGGTGATCCATACATGTTTAAAAGAAAATAAATTAGTAATCAGTGGCTAAGAAAATTCTTGAATTTTTTATGATTGCTTAGAAATTTAATACTATACAATTATGAAAAAATATGTTGATAATATTTTTATGGTATCTAAATTTTGTTCTTAAATTCAGTTTTTTCATACAAATAAAGCTTTGTATGAAAAAAATCAATGCAACTTCTGAAAAATAACCCATACCCCACTAAAATCTTTTTTTTATATAATAAAAAATATCTAGATAACATTTGATAAAATTGGCATTTCCAGAATAAAAAAAACATCTGTAAATAGCCTATTAAGTATGAATACTTGGTTGCCATCCTGATGGCAAGGTGTGTTAGAGCATTTATAGAATCCCAGAAAGAACCATAGCTGTTTCAAAATTATTTTTCGGTTTCAAATTTTTATTTATTTGCTTTGAAATTAATTTTTTAGCAAACTTTATGGCCCCAATTTAGCTCCATACAGAGTGTTTTAGGGCAGCCTCAGTACTCACCGTGGTACTCAGCCCAGCCGTATCCTCGGACTATATCTATCTCCGAATCGTCTCCCTCCTCTCGGCTGTAAACCCGGATCAGGATGTATTTAAAAACCCCAGAGGGGTCGATGTCAACCCGCGGTATGTTAGCCATGACAGCCGCTGCTTTGGTCTGGGAGCACATCTCCCAACTCTTTAGCAAACCGAGCACCAAAGCAAGCAACAGCAGTCCGAAAGCTCGGACTTTCTCATCAAACTCCAGCCCCTGCTACTGTGCGAGGAAAAACCCGGCGGACTGTTGTGATTGTAGTTGGACGTTACAAGAAAAACTTAAAGGAAAGCGCTCTCAAACCTGCGCCGCCATGATGCTGCTAACAAAAACACCGTCACTTCCGGTTTGTGGAAACAATGTTAAAAACTTTAAATGTTAACTGAGTCATTTAAGCGACACATTAACAGTGCAAAAATGTTTACTACATAGCTAAATCACGAATTGTTTCCATTATTTTATTAAACGTTAAGACAAAAAGCGTTCATCTTTCTCACTTAGCTTTTATTCTGAAGGCTAACAGGAAGCTGCTGTTCGCTGTCCTCTACCAATTATGCGTCAAGCAGCCTGCCATATTGTGAGGGTCATATTTAGCTAACAAAATGCCAGAAAATGTGTTTTAGAAGCAGGGGTTTCTAAAAATAGTGCCACGAGAGTGTTACAATTAATTAAAAGAAACTTTGGTTAATTACTGTATGTTTATATGAATTTAAGTCTAATATAATTGAAACAAGGCTGTATAAGTTTATGACATTTGCAGCTTCACTGCTCCAGGTTCAATGTTCAGAGTTCAAAATGCCATAAATAAATCACTAACAATCATCCTTGAAATTAACTCTTGTAATGTATTTGCAGACCAAACACATCAGTCAGAATGTACAGTAATGGTCACAACATTTTTATTCAACAAAAAGTCTGCCATCTTGATTGGACGAAATGGCAGCTCAGTGAAATCTAACATGGACTTTATAAAGTGTAGAAAATAACAATATTCGATATGCAAGTGTTGAATTAGCTCTCACAATGAATTCCTGTCAATTGATATTTTCCTGTTATAACAAACTCGTGTCCAATTTGCTTTGCTCAATGTAACAAACAAGAACCATTAAATTAAGTAGAAAAATGTGCTGCCGGTCCATTTATAGTTAACTTTGAGTCCAACATATACAGTATTATTAAACAATTATCTTAATTTATGCAGAAAATCTCATATCATTTAACATCTTCAGTGCATAAAAAACATGTTTGATAATATGTTAAAAGACCAAAGGAAAGGGGGAGTTTTCCAGTTTCATGCACGTCAGAAACAAAACAAAATCAGATTTTTCAGTATTTGACCTGCTGATTATGTAATAAATGGCCAGTTCAGTGACTTTACAGTTGACTGGTGCATCTCTACATTAAATACCACACATCACATAAAAATAATGTCAATCTCCTATAAAGACCGACAGAGTTACCTGGAGGTCAGTTCACTCCATCTGTGATTTAATGAAACATTCCCATGGTGCTAATGGACTCATGTTTGCCCTCAGTAAAAACCTACACACTAAAGAGTGTTGCAGTCAGCTCAACCTGTGCTGCCTAGTCCTGGTTCTGATAGGGAAAGATTTAGATTTTTAATTTTGGGACCAGGTGGTCAACTTTAGGGCTCTTCAAGCTAAAACATTACCATTTTTTCCTCTAAAATGTTTTATTTTAAATAAAATGTGCACGTATTCCTTGTTTGATTAGACAAAATAAAGCTGATTTGAAATTCAATATTGACATTCAAAATGTGAATTGCTGACGATTGAAACTTAAAAGGCGACAAATATTGCGTTCTAATCAGTAATTCTGGTCCCAAGAGTTTTTCTGTGAAACCTAACTCCAAATTATTCATGGAAAATTCAACTGTTAGCCTAATTTGTACAGAAACAGAAAACTGATATGGGAAGACGCAATACTAATTGAGGCGCCTCTGGTTTGTGTCTGTGACCAATCCAGGAGCGCCGTTCATTTTTCTTTTCGCTGATTGTTAGCATCTGTGGTGCCAAGATGGTTTCTACTGTGCGTATAGACGCATATTAAGATATATTTGGTGTTTGAAGTATTAAAATAGGCATTTTTTGAGGAGGCCTGAAGTATTCATGGATTTCAGCTACAGGCAGTTCAGGTTCCTAACCCCTGTGAAAACAGGCATATTAAGCTTCATAGCGAAATATTTAGCTTCAAAATAAATATGTAACTTGAAACTCAATACTTAATTAGCAAGCTAAATGCCAAGTGTTTAGTTTGAAGCTAGATAATTAGCTAGAAAGCTACATATTTACCAAATATTTAGTGTAAAACTAAATATATTGTGTGGAACTAAATATATAGATTGCTGGTTACATATTGAGCTCCTAGCTTAACATTTAATTTGATGTTAAATATTTAGCTTTTTAATTAGCTATATTGTTTCAAGCTAAATATTTAATTAGCAAGCTAAATATTTAGCTTAAGCCAGGATTTTTAGATAAAAGCTACATATTTACTTAGCTAATTAAATATAGTTTGCTAATTAAATATTTAAGCATAAATATTTAGTTTGCTGATTAAATATCTGGTTTTCTAGTTATATGTCTAGCTTCAAGCTACATATTTAGTTTGGAACTAAATATTTTGTTTGCTAACAAGGTTCTTACTTTCTAATCCCTTTTTTTGTTTTTTTAAATTACATATTTAATTTTAAACCAATATTTATAAATGTGCGATTAAAATGTTGAAATTATGTTAAAAAAATTAAACCCTGTTTTTTTCCATTCATGACAAACAGCCCAAATTATTACTGTTCATTTTTGACAGTGTAACTTTACAAACCAGGCCAAACAGTCATGTTAAGTTCAAGCTTAGTGGCCGTCTGGTGTCATTGAAATGTTTATGAATCTAATTAAAAAGACAAACAGCTCAAACAAATGCCAGGCTGCAGATGATGGGCAAGCAGATTTACACTGAAGTTTCTGGAAGAAGCAATAACAACAAAAACCAAACGTCCTGCATGTTTCTTTTCTTCACAGCTCTGGAGGCATGATGTTGTATCTAGATGACGTTTTCATCGCCTCCTTTCTTCCTCTTGCTTCGCGCTCGAAACAGCAGAAAGACACAGATGACGAGGAGGACGATGAAGAGGAAGAGGAGCACCCCCCACGCTCCGACGGTGAGAGTCTTCCTCACCCCGGCGCTTTCTGCAGGCAGCAAATTGCTGAGCACCAGCATGTAGCCCAGAGCCCAGCCCACCGACGTGTCGCCCGCCTGCAGAAAAAAACCAACCAAACTGATGACTGAGGATCACCAGACGTCAGTTATTTATTAAAAAGCCGTTTTTTACCGTATTCTGAAAGGAAATGTCAGGGAACGACGAGTCGTCAAAGCCGTATCCTCTCAGCAGCAGAGCTTGGAGGAGCACAGAGGAAGCGCAGTAATTCCTCACACGGTCGATGTTTTTTTTATCAGACACCATCTGCAGCTAAACAGAAGTTTAAATATTCAGGGTCGACACTAAATATTTAGTTTGGAAGGAGTTTGAAGCTAAATGTAGCTTGCTAACTAAATTCATAGCTTCAAACTAAATATTCAGGTTCGACACTAAATATTTAGTTTGTAGCCAAATATTTACCTTGCTAACAAGGTAGCTTGATATTTAGGTAGATGATGTGTAGTTTGTTATCTAAATATTTATTTTTAGTAATTAAAAACTAAATATTAAATAATATTTAGTTTTAAATATTTTTAATATTTAAAATATATTTAATATTTTTACGCAATAAAATAGTTTTTATATTTTATATCACAATAAAAATAATACATATTTTTTAATTGCCTGATTTTAAATGTTTATAAGAATCATTTTGTGACTGGCAATTAGTTGTTAAAAAATACTGAATATCATAAAACAAATATGATTATGAAAAAATTTATAGGATTCATTTTTAATTTTTTTTTTTCTCATCTGCACTCCAACTTTCTAAGACTCCCACAGCGCCCTCTGGTGGCCACCACTTGGAAAAACACAAGAAAGATGCTTTTCATGTTCTTTTGCTTTATATTTTTGTCACTTATATGAATTATTGTAATTTTCATCTTTAAATACCCAAATTTCCACTTACCTTTATATTTTGGTCCATCTGATGATGTATTTTTTATTAAATGATTTATAATTTGTTCAGTTACTCAGTACTTGAGTCAAATACTTTTGACTCTTCCTTGAGTATAATGTCTCTGCTGACCTCTATGTGACATTAATGTGTTAAATTGTCAGATTAAATTGTTTACCTGGCTCCAGTTCATGCTGCACACCTTCTTGGTGGCGTTCTCCAGCTGCAGCGACGTTTTGACCTTGACCCCTGTGACATTCTGCAGGGATGAGTGAATGTGGTAAAAAGCAGAAAATGCCTGGAGATGAAAAAAAAGAAAAAAAGAGAGTTTAGATGTAGAAACTGGTTAAATCAAAGCACAGACAATACGACTGTCCCATGTTTTCCTGTTCGCCTCGGGGCTGAACAGAGTTTTACGGCTGAATTTTCCCTCATCTTGTTTTGACGTGTCCATAATTTATGCGCCTCAGTGCATTTTTAATCTGCAGCTTCAGGGCTAATAGCATCTTATTCCACAGAGGGACATGTGCTGCTTAATTTTCCTGCAAGGGACAGCAAGTTTCTAGCGCTTTGCTTGTTGCCTAGCAACCAATCTCTAATGAAACAGTGGATTTAAAAAGGTAATTACAAAAAAAATCAAAGGAAGACACACAAAGAAAAGTGATAATAGATTATCTCCAATCAATAACATCAATCAGAAATCAACTGGTTTTGGTTTGATTGGGGTTAAAATCAGTTTCAGAGCCTAAAACTGAATGTTTTCCACACATTGGGGTTTAAACCAGGGGTGTCCAAAGTGTGGCTCGGGGGCCATTTGTAGCCCTGGGGATAATTTTGTGTTGCCCAACAAAACTGATATATTTTTAACCTGAAAATGTTAAATACAACACAAAGTTCATTTATTAGAGTTTCTTTGATATTTCATATAAAAGTCATGTGACTTTTTTTATACATGGCTAAACTTAAAATAAACTTAAAATTCTAATGAATATTTCACATAAAGTAATTATTAAAATCCAAAATAAAGAAAACAACAGAAACAACAAACAAAGCAAATTATGAAATCTCTGTAAAAAAAAAAATTGTCCGTAAAGAAATGAGACCAAAGCACCAGGCTGAAGACTTTTGTCATCCAGTTTTTGGTAAAAAGAGAGAGAGAAAAGAAAAAAACGATACATCACGTGTTTGTTTTAATTTATAATGTGATTAATTGATCACATTATAATTGCTATATTTGCTATAATTGCTTATTGTTACAGGCCTGGTCAAGATTATTATTTATTTCTTATTATTTTAGGATCATCTGATAGTGTGGGAATTAAATTTTTATGCTCAGTTGGTCAGAAAATTATCAGCCAATATAAGCAAAAAGTAGGATACACATTCAGTTTCAAGCATCCAGCATCCCGATGTGAGTGAAGCATCTGACACAGAATAAATTTTCTTAAACTAAAGGTATAGTTTTAAAACTGCTTTTAATTTGTTTCACAAATCTTTACTCCTTCTGATTTTCTCACCATGAAGCTGCCAGTGACTTTCGGTTGGAAGACTTTGTCGAATGAACACCGTGAGAAGGGACAACCGTCGTGGGAGAAGAGTTCAGACACATTGCCCAAGCAGTTCTCGTAATGTCCGCTGCCGCGTAGCGTCAAGCTCCAGTTCTTCTGAGGGTTGTAGGCTTCGGGTTTGTACTGCTCGGTGCACGGCGAGTCGAAGATATTCTTCATATCCAGCGGCCCAGTGAAGTTTGCAGGATAGCAGGGATGACTGACCTCTGGAGCGTAACCCTGAGACTGAAACACATAAAACAAGGCGGCCATATTGAATTAGAGTCAATAAATTCCAAAAGCTGCTAACTATAACATGTCAAATGTTGAAATTTCAGACTAAAATTAAGTAAGATTAAAAAAGGTGAATATATGAATAACATGAATGAAAGGTAGATAATATTCTGTTGAAGTTCCTCATATTTTCCAGCAGAGGGTGCTGGAAATATTCATGTAAAAATATAATTTTTAAAATAATACAGGACATGTATTAAATAATAGATGATTTTGCCCAAGTGTTTGAGCAAAAAATTGCTGAATTACATGAAATAAAAATAAAAGCAGAGGGAAAAAATCTGCAGCTGATGATTATTTTATTAATTGTTTATTCCGATGATTAATCGATTAATCGATTAAAAAATGCCTACAAATTTTTTATTTAACCAGTTAAGTCTTTGCTATGCAATATTAGAAAAACATTAAGCAATGCAAATAAACAAACATTTAAATTAATTTTTTAAATAAGAAAATAAAAATTTTATCGCTTTAGATACAATAACAGAATTTCTGTTGTGAAGCTAAAACTATTCCTAAGAGGAGTTTGTGCTAAAACATATTTACAGAAAAAGGTTCTTCTTATCTTAAATGCAAAATGTTTGTATATTGTTTTTACAGTTTTGGCTTAATGACATTAAAAGACCATTTTTTGAGTCCTTTTCTCCAGTTAACAATTAATCAAATAATTGATTAATAAATTAGTGCTTCAGTTGTTGACTGTGTTTTATGACTTTCATTTTTGTGTTTTTATGACGTAAAGCACTTTGAACTGCTTTGTTGCTGGAATGTGCTGTACAAAAAAACTTGATTAATTAGTTGACGATTATTTCAATAATCGATTCGTCACGATTAATCTGATAAATCGTTTCAGCCGTAGCTGTACTTAATTATCATTTTATGTTTAGGAAGATATAAACTTTAAATGTAATTCTAAAATAATTACAAAAAGTTCAGATTTTCACCATTCTTGAACTGCAGTCAAGGGCCACACAAACTTATCTGAAGGGCCACAAACGGCCCCCGGGCCACATGCTGGACATCCTTGCTTTAAGCCACAATATGGACTGAATGATTATTGAACTGCAGGGAAACTTTCAGGTTTGTAGACTTTTATTTTTTTGTCCCTTCACTGTGGTCACAACGGTGCGACCTCAGATCATTTTTAGTCAAATTATGGAGAAATTCTGACGCACTGAGAGCAGAAACTTCGTCTTGCCTTCACGATTTGAGCCAGCAGTTTCTTTAGAAGCTGATTCTGGCCGTAGCACAGGAAGCTGTGAGTGTACAGCGAGTAATCTTGGCCATAGAGACGCAGCTCCTTCCTGTTTGCTTCGTTCTCCACCTTCTCCTGCGTGACGAATGTGATCTGTGTCGACGCGCCGCCGAAGTCCAGCGCTCCCACCGTCGCTCCGCCGGAGCTCAACCAGCGGCCGACAAAGTCGTACTGTACAAACACAACCCGCGGTCAAACACTTAAATCCAAACATTTACAATGTAAAAACAACACAAAAAACAAAGAAAGACTATTTTAAAAATATGACATTATTTCCTTTTGTTTTAATAATGTATTCTACAGCAAAATGTGATGTTTTTACACCATAAAGGCATCACTGCACTGCAAAAACACAAAATAATACCAAGCACTTTTAGTTTATTTTATAGTGCAAATAAAACTAATTTAAAAGTAACTTTGCAGCAAGATATATGAGCTTGTTTTGAGTCAATAAGTCCTTAATATTGATAAAGAAAATTAATTGTTATTATTGTAATAAATAATCTGACAGTGTAACTTATAATTTTTCATCAATATTAAGGGATTATTGACTAAGAAAAAGCTATTTCTTACTGAAAAGCTACTTGTAAGTTGGTTTTGTCTTATTTCAAGATAATTACACTAGAAACTAGAGAGAAACTCTTGGTAAGATTTTCTGTTTTTGCAGTGTGGTCTGAGAGCAAAGCATTAATTTAAAAAGTAAACATCTTAACTTCAGTAAATTTAATGTATAAAATATAAGACAGTCAATAAGTAATTTAACCATCAGAAATAACAAAATATAAAACATTTTGAAACAATCCAAACAAATAAGGTAAAATAACTTCCTGCTCAAATTAAACACAAAAAGTTTTCTGGCATTTAGCAAATAGAAATAATTTTAGTGATGCTAATGAAGCTAAAACAAGAAACTTCAAGTCTGATTTGACTTCAGACAATGAGGAAAAAAATTTATTTCTCTTTTTATTAAGTGTATAAAAATATCTGGGTTCAACTGTAAATAATATTTTCCAAATTTAGGATTTTAATCAAAACTGTAATATAATGTCAAATAGAAATTCAAGCATTTTAAATTATTTCTTTCATATTTTCTCCTCTGAGATAAAATGTCCGAATGCGTCGGCACCTTGATGAAGTTTCTCAGCAGGTAGTTGACGGTGACCCAGCCGTAGGCGCCCTCCTCCTGTCCGTCCAGGATCACCGCTCCACTGTAGTTGAAAGGAAACGACCGGATCTCACTGCCCACTTCGGCCAGAATCTGATCCGACTGCTTTGGATTGGAGATGCTGAAAAAAAAAAACTAATGTTAATAACAGATGTTTACCGCCCTTTACAGTTAATAAAAACCAACAAGAACTGCACTGCAAACACAAAATCTTACCAAGAATCTGGTTTTCTGAAAACGTTTTTTCTCAAATTCACATTTTTTCTAGAATTTTTACTTTTTTTCTCAGAATTGATTATATTTCCTAGAATTCTGACTTTTTTTCCCTCAGAATTGATTTTTCCCAAAAATTGATATTGTTTTCTTTAGAACTGAGTTTTTTCATAGGATTTTAACATTTTTGTCATTTTATTTCTCAGAAATCAGATTTTTTTTTCTCAAAACTGACTTTTATCCTCAGAATGTTTCATATTTTTATCATACTTGATTTTATTTAACAGAATTTTCACTTTTTTCTCAAAATTTTGAATTTTCTCAAAAATTATTTTTCCTCCAGAATTTTGACCTTTTTTTCCTCAGAATTTTGATATTTAATATTAAAAGATTAAAGTAAGAATAAATTTGGTAAATTCTGAGAAAAAAAAGTCAAAATTCTAAGAAAAAAGCCTGAATATTTTCCTTTGGTGCCTCTGATCTTCTTCTGTTCAGAATTGCTTTCAATTAACTGATAAATATCATCTAAGCATACGATGGTCGTTTCACGTGTCTCTTTGGGCCACATAAAACTTTCGGCGGCCGAACCTTGAGTTTGACACATGTGCTGTAAACAAAGCATAAAGCTCAAAGGTCTACAGACCTAAATCACACAGTGACTCACTTCAACAGCCTCATGCCGGCCGTGGCTCCCAGGTACACAGGTGTGTTGGGGTGTTTCTCTTTGGGAATCTCTTTAACAGCCTGATTCAGACACTCCCGTAAGCTTTGGGCAGCCTCTCCGACCCGGCCAGCGTATTCAGAAATCCCCCCACCTTAGAGAGGGTTGGGCAGAGAATCATAAAAACAGCTGATTAGATCTCTGTGCTGCATCATTTATGAAACGCTGTGTCAGGTTATTTACACCAGCAAGGCCAGAAATGCTGGTTCCCATGACATCTACCTGCACAGGCAGCCATTTTCAGAGCAAAGTAAAGCTAGCATTTATTTTAGTAATTCATTATTCTATTATTTATTTTGTTGATTAATCCAATAATCAGATAAAAATGAGACATTCTGCAAATTTAAGTTTATTTTATACAATATTACAAATACATTAAAGATGTAAATAAACATTTCTTTATCACTTTTCAGGTAGAAAATAAACATTATATTACCTAAAACTGTTTATCAATTGTAGTAAAGGATGGCTAAATAAAAATATGCTAAATGTGGCGATTTTTAAATCTGATTAATTGTCAAAATTATCGACAATTAATAATTTTAATTATTATTTAAATGGCTAAATCACAATTTAAATGATTAAATTTAAATTTAATCATTTAAGTTATATTTTATTTTATCTATGTGAATTTGATCAAATAAAGTGGGTAATTGGGTAATAAAAGACTAAAGTTTTTGTTTCCCCCTGTGACATTTGTAACCAGAATCGTTGTGGCAGTTGGATGCGTTTGCCTGTAGAATGGGATTAAACCTGACTGGTATTTGACATGCAAAGCGCTGGTTTTAGTGGCGATTCTTACCGTCTGCAGTGCATTCGCTGTGCTGGGTGACCACGCCGGTGCCATTTTGTTTATCTGCAGGCCACTTATAGATAAACAAAGAAGTGTGGGAAGAACCGGCATCCAGGACAATCCCATACTGCCGAACAAAAACAGAACAAGGAATCAGATATGTGAACTCGGAAACCGCTCCAACAGCAGGAAACGAACTACAGCGCAGGGCATTCTGGGTAAATACAACCAAAACAAAAGCCCTAACGAGCGCTAGCAAGAGAATTAGCTTGATTTATTTAACCAAAGACAAAAGAGAAATCCGACAACCGCTAAAATCTGACGCTACTCCATTTTTGTTTACGTTTCATGAGGAAGTTGCGCTCAGTGTCTTCTTCAGAGGTTTTCGTGTCGTTTCCTTTAGCGGTTTTTCGTGCAGCGCCCCCATAGGCGAGGAGAGGAACAGCTTTTTCAGTTTGGATCGTTTGACTCGGTGCAGTGTGAAAGTGAACTTCAGAAACTGAAAATGAAACAAATGTTGCAATTTTGGTCCCCAATAGAGCGAAATATGGCGGACTACCAAACTCCACTTCATTTGTCTAGAAAATCCGGTTTGTTTGGGGAGATGTAAATGTGTAATCGAATTCTGATGCAGATGAAAAAAATAAACTCTGGTCCACCTAAAAGACTGGACTTTGTAGTTTTGGCTAAATCTAAAAGCCCAAAGTATTTTTTAAAGTTACCTTGGAAAAACAGTTATTAAAGGTTTAAAATTATGGGTTTTCCCAAGATGATCATGGTATTTCTCAGTCTGACTAAATAAAAACACTTTAATACAAGAAGAATATGCGCCTGCAAATAAAAATCTAAAATTAGTACAAGTGTATCTGCATGGATACGTACTCCCATGTTCTTCCTTCAAATGTTTTCTCATTTCTGTTGTGCAGTGAGCTGTAGCAACCTACTTACTGGAAACACAATGAGCTTTCACGCTCTGCTTTGTCCTTTCACTTTTTAGGGAAAAAGGTGTTTCTCTCCCTGGAAGCTGTAAGAAAATCATTTCTTTGATTGTGTGTGGCCAGTTTGACTGATGAAGCAGCTTTAATAAACCTTAAAAAGAAAACCAGCGGATATCAGTCTGGTTGCATAATTAAGGTAGAACAATGTGGTAGAAACTTGAGCCAAACTGTGAAGAAATCCTGCTCTGAATACCAAAACAACTGCAAAAGAGCTTCTCAACAAACGAGGAAATATCTTTTGCTAGTTCAGTTACTCAACGTCTTGGTTTCACTCGTTGTCACTTTTCTCTCTGGTGAAGCTCTGATAATTATCTGTGGTTTAACTGAGCCATCTGCTGTTTATCAGTGTTTTCACAGAAATGTCAGTCATAACATTTTTATTTCAGCATTTCCTGCAGAGTGGGATTATGCTTCACTTGTATTTGCATTGCAAAGGTTTTTATTTCACATTAACATAAAGTTTCATGATTTTTAAGCCATAATTATGTAAATTTAATGTTTGAAATGTTACATTTTTCTCTTTTTCAATTTAATTTGTGAGATGAAAGTCCTAATCAGAGGTGATAACAGTATTTCAACATGTATTACTACAGCGTAGTAAAAAAGTATTTATTTCCTAAATGTAACTGAGCACCTGGTTACTCCTCGGCTCTGGTTCTGTTACGGGAACTGTAGGTGAAACTCGGCTGCAGTTTTTATCGTTTCCAACAAGCCGTTTCTTGTCTTTGTGATGTAAAAACGCCTCCAGGTGAAACGATTTCTGAGGCAGGAATCAAACTCCCACTTCACCGTTTCTAAAGAATATTAACATGACTAACTTACCGAGTACCAACCCTGATCCGTTTACTCTGCACTTCATTTCCTTACAATTGCATCATACCAGCAGTCACTGCAAAACCTAACTTAAAAAAATGTTGTTGCTTCAAAATTTTTGTGTTGAATAATTAATTGATAAAGTAATATTAAGTTAGTATAATAAATCTGAGTGTGACGATCTGTGTTTTTGTGTATTTCTTTCTCTTTTTTCTATGTCCTTGTTTCCCCTGAGTCTCTGTCCTGTCCTCCCTGTTGATTGATCCCAGCTGTGTCTAGTTTTCCTGATTAGCCTCCCTGTGTATTTAAGTCCACCTTTGTCTCTTGTCTCGTCTAATGTCAGTTGTTGTTGTTGCATGTCGAACGTCTAAGCTCTCCAGTTGAACTGCGAAGTCCTGGTTAGCGTTAGCTCTTGTTTTCAGTCTTCTGTATATCAGTTGCTACTGGTAATTAGCTGTATGTGCTGTTCTCTCTGCTGTGCCGCCTGCATTTGGACTGTTTGAGCTTTCATCATTAAATTTATCATTTTCTTCACAACCTGGGTCTCAGTGTTCATCTTCAACACATCATGACACTGAGCTTAATTTTTTAGTATAAACAAAGTTTTCTGAAGCTAGCATGAAAAGTTGAACTGATTGACTGTATAATTGCACAATTTGACATTTTGAAAATAAATTTGCTTAAAGAAAACACTTTAAAAGCTGATCAGAAGTTTTGACACTATGACGAGGTGTTTACATTTATTTTACAAAACTGCAATGGAAACATTTTTTCACATTATGAGCCACATGATCAACAAGTGGATGTTACTACTATTGGAAACTACGGAGAAGATGACAACAGGAAGTAGTTGGAGGATTTTGTTTTTAATGAACAAACTTATTCATGTGTGATTTTAATTGTATTTCTTATTTATTGAAAGCGAAATTGTGTGTTTTTTTTTTACATTAGCGTACATTTGTAATGGAAAAGCAGCCAATGAGTTTAGCTTTTTGCCTTGAAGCTGCAGTATAAAATTTCATTAAAAAAAATAAAATAAAAGTTGACAACTATGTTGTGACAGTATGTTATGAAACGAATAATCTGTAACAAAACTGAGCTCTTCTGCCTCCTCCTAGTGCTAATTGCAGCTAGCATAGCATGTTGTTAATGGTAAGGCCAGTTAGCATAGCCACTGATGACAGCAGCGGTTTTCCTGTTAAGTTGTTTTTGGCATTAGTATGTTCAGCAAGGAGTACATGAGTTTGATTGGCAGCGCGAAGCCCCGCCCTCTGGCTCTGACTGGTTGTTTTTGGTCTGGTTAATTTCTGTAATAGTAGCTCAGGGAGAAGGTGGAGATCATTTTTTCACAGATAATGTCTCATAACATTTTTTTTAAAAAAAGGAAAAAAATATTTAATAAAAGTTGCAAACTATTTTTGTGACAAATAAAAAAAGTAGTATAATCAGTTAAATCCACTTAATTTATCTCATTAAAGTCAATTTTGTAATTCATTATACACCCCAAAATCCTCTGGATTTAATTCAGCAAAACCTTGATCAGAGTTAAATTCACTCATGTTTTTCAATTAAAAACAACGTGCCGGTTTTACAGTGCGGACATTACCATGAACCCCGGCGCGTCCTGGACGTCCTGGGAGGGAATGGTGAGCAGCAGGATGCCGACCAGTCCGAACAGCAGCAGCGCGATGGGAGCGATGGGAAGGGCGGAAAACCGAGCCATGAAGTGAAAGTGAGACTTTCTGATTCTGGAAATACGAGCCTTCGCTCAGCAACAAGTGGAAGAAGAGGAGCTGTTCCTCTTCCTCTGTCTGACCGCTCCTCTTCACCTGCTGGCTTCCTGCCCGCCAGCTGACATTTTAAAGTCTGACTCAGATGAACGTTCAAAGTCCGGAACCGTTTCACACCAGCAGGAAGCAGAACCACGGATACGGAGCCAGTCGGTCAGCAATGCCTTTATCTGCCGGAGCTGCTTTACATTCAGCGGCGGCAGCGGGGAGGAGCCACGGGATGCACGGCTCCCTTTACATGAGCTTCAATTACTGTATGTTAAAGAAAACAAAGAACTGGGTGGTTTGCTAAGAGTGTTAGAGCAACTGTAGATGGGGGAAAGAGGAGGAGCACATTTCTGTCACAAAAAATCTGATTTTTTTTACATTTTCAAACGTTGAAAACTTTAGACTTTTAGTAATTTTCATTGTTTCAAAAGTTGAACTTTTTTTTTACTTTTCAAACAAAGAAAATTCTCATTTTTCTTCAGTTCTTTCAAGAAAATTTCCGATTTTTCAAACTCCAAAAGTTTAAAGTCTTTTCTTTCACCAAACAAATCTGAGATTTTCAGATTGATCTCAGAAATAAAAAAATAATAAAGTAAAATAAAATAAAAAAATAAAATAATTAGTTCAACCTCTGAAATGAGTTTGAAAAAATAAAATTTGCAAAAAAAAAAAAAAAAAAAATACAGAAAAAACTTTATAAAGTCGAATTTTTTATGTTTTTATAAATTCACAATTTTCCATATTTTTTGTAAAAATAAAATCTGAAATTCATCTCAAAATTTCAGATTTATTTTCTGGAAACTTTTCAACTTATCAAACTCAGAAATTTCCTTGTATTTTAATATTAATCTGAAATTTTCAGATTAATATCAGCAATTTTCTGGCAAAAATGTCAGAGTTTCAAGTTTTTCTGGAAAAATTCAGATTTTTTTCTAGCAAAAAAAATTTAAATTTCAAAATTTGAGTATTTTCTAGAAATTTTCAGATTTTTTGCAAGAAATTTTCTGAGATTAATTTTTAAAAATTTTCAGGAAAACTTGGAAATTTTTGAGTTTGAAACGTCTACGATTTTCTTGAAAAAAATTCTCTAATTTTGACATTACAGTTTTCTTTGGCAGAAATGTAATCCTCTTATTTTTTCTTCTTGATTTATGTAACTGATTGTGATTTTATATTTTATTTCTTCAAATTATAAACAGTAAATTATAAGAACGTTAAACTTCAGCTCATCAAAAAAAAAAAAAAACAACAGATATATAAAGAGTGAATATGTTTCCTGCTCAGTTTTTGTGCTCAGATCTGAATCTCCACATTAATTCAGGGAACAGTTCCCAGAACAGTTCCCAAAGCAAAACAATGTTTACAGCAGCAGCAGCAGCAGCAGCAGCAGCAGCAGCAGCAGCAGCAGCAGCAGCAGCAGCAGCAGCAGCAGCAGCAGCAGCAGTGTGAACCGTTTTTAACTTCTCCTCACTGGTAGAAACTGGTTTTGGGGAATGCAGTCTTCAGACGTGTTGATACATTTCCATATTTCCACACTTGTATGTTTTTGATGCAGAAAATGTAGAAACACTTCTGAGGAAATAATCCCAGTGATTTATTCTTTTCAGACAACAGAAACCTCCATTGTTGTCCTGTATGCTGACTAGCTGCTGCAGCAGGTCAGTCATTAATCCCGACAGCAGAGCTTCAGCAGGTCGAAGCTTCACAGGTTTCCTTTGGCTTTTTTCCCAGCAGGAATCGTTCACTAAACGTCCCAGGAAAAGGTCGCAGGTTGAACTCTGGGTGGGTCTGAACTCCAACAATCTGTGCAGCAATCAACACTGAAATGTGAGCTTGAAACATCACAATGAGGCGATAGGAGGAGACAACTGAAGGATCTGACAAAGAGGTAAAGAAACTGACTGGCTCTTAGCTGCTGGGTGGGAACCTGAGCAGAGCAGGACACTTTAATGATGTTACACAACCAAAACGTTATGACTTATGGAAGCTTCATGGACTCAAAAGTCTAAAAATCACAACTATTAAAACTCAAAAGTGTCCAAGTTTCTTCTAGAATTTTTTTTAGATTATTCACAAATTTTCTGAGTTTTATCTCACAAATATTTGACTTTTCAAACTCAGAAATTAAATTTTTTTTCTAGAAAATTTCTGAGATAAATATGAACATTTTGACCTTTTCTTCACAAATATTTGATTCTCAAACTAAAACATTTTTAAGATTATTCTCAAAATTTATGAAGTTTTTCTAACAAATTTCAGACTTTTCAAACTGAGGAATTTTCAATAGAAAATTTCAAGAAAAATGTCAAAATTTAAAGTTTTCTCTCTTTTTTTAAAGAAAATCTCTGGGACTAATCTCAAAATGGTCCAGTTTCTTTTTTCTCTTAAAAAGTTTTGTGATGAGTCTCAAAATTTTGAAGTATTTTCTCGTAAAAAATAAACTTTTGGATCACAAAACTGTCCTGTTTTTATCTTAAAGAAAATTTCTAAGATTAATTTCAAAATGTCATTTTTTTCTATTAAATTTGTTACTTATCAAACTCAGAAATTTCCAAGTTTATTTTCTAGAAAATTTCTGAAATTCATATCAAAATGTTGGAGTTTTTCCCAGCAAAACTCAGAAATTCTTTATTTTCTTTTCTTGAAAAGTTCTGAGATGGATCTCAAAGTTTGACGTTTTTTCTTGTAAATTTTCAACGTTTGTGTCACAGAAGTTTCTGTGTTTTTTCAAGAAAATTTCTGAAATTAACCTCAAAATTTGAAGAAGAGTTTTGTTTCCATCTGTCATGTCCCACAGAAATAATCACATCAGCTTTTTCTTCCTTTCATGAGTTAAAAGCAGAAACAGGTCAGACTTGTCGATGTCAGCGTTTTTTATTTACAGCAGTAAAAACATGATGGTTTAAAGCTGGAAAATGTAGGAAAAAACAAGCAGACGTCGCCGTCGGGGCTTCCTGCTGCGCGTTTGGACGCGTTTCTTACAAAAGTTCTCCGGTTTCCAGTTCAGCGTCGTCACATATTTACACGTCATTCAGTTTAAATGCTTCCTCACAGCTCAGCTCGCTGTACAAGGCAGATATGCAGAAACAAACAGAAGCGCTATGTTGTGTATCAATACAGAAGCATGCAGAGGCTTAAAGGAGGCTTCACAAGCAGCTGGTTCTATTAGAAAGTGAAATGCATTCTGGGTAGTTTTGGGGCTTCGCTGCAGCTTAACGAAGGAGACCAATCAGGATAAAGTGCAAAGCGGCGCCGGACTCCGCAGAGGGCACCAGCAGGGGGGCAGCAGGTGTTTCTCACCTCCAGAAAACGGGAAACGGCCCGTTTCCCCAGCCAACCGAGGCGTTTCTGCAGCTTTCAACTCACTCCGGTCGTTTCGTGCAAAAGTTCGCTGAGGTTTTGCACGAAAGGCCGAGTGCTGGTTGGCTGGGAAACGCGGCCCTTTGATGCAACCCCTTCCAAAAGCTGGAGGCGAGAAAAACTGCAGCTGCAGGAGAGAGGAAGAGAGAATAAAAACTTTTAAAGTCTCCTTTTATAAAGATATGGAAAGCTGAGTAGTCAAAGCTTTTGCTAACATTTAAAATAACTGCCTTGGGCATGTAAGTGCAAATAAACGTTTCCTAGAAATCGCATTAATCATCATCATCATCATTCAAATACATAGATTCTACATTTTCATATACAAGCACACGCATGCTTTCATTTCACCAGAAGCTCGTTTTTAAGTGCCATTATCCCAATAAAATGTCTAAAAACATTTAAAGTGTCGATGGAAACCCAGATATAATTCCTATTAAAAATAATTTACCTCTAGCCGTTTTTTATTGCACTACAAGTCGATTCTTCTGCTCTATTTTAGCCTCAATTGGAAGAGAAATATCGTCACCAGAAACAGATTTTCATCCCTAAAATGAACCGTTTGTCTAAAAGCTACGCAGGGAATCGATAAAATCAAACACCGAACATTAAGTTTATGCGAGTAAAAGGACAAAACAAGGCTAAGGTTTAACTTACAGAAGGAAAAGATCGTATATGTGGGTAAGATGGGTTCCTCTGTGCATGCTTAGCAATCCTAAAAACATCTAAGACCAGATAGATAATCCTGTTTTTAAAAAAGGTGCAAAGTTCATCAGAGTCGTTTCTTCTTCTTCAGGTTTTCATTCAGCTGAAGGAAACGTGGAGTCTTCTTCTTCTTCTGACTCGTCTGCGTCGTGAACGGCCTCATCGTCGCTCTTTTCTTTCTCTCCCTCTCTGTTTTTTGTTTCTACACCACGGTGCTGACGGACGGGTCAGACAGGTTGAGCTGGCCCGTGGCGTCAGTGGGTGGGTACTGCTGCAAACGTGACGGAGAAATGGAGGCACAGAATGACAAGAAACACACAGAGGGCCGTCATTTAGTGAGAAAACGAGACGTTTCATCAGCTTTTACCTCGCTGTCTATAATGCAGCAGCAGCAGGAAGCTAACCGCTCTCAGGGAGAAACTTTAATGTGACAGAGCAGCACAAACGCAGCAGCTTTGACTGGAGCTGAACGGAGAGACATGACGGTGCATTGGGAACAACTTAGATGGAGAAAAGAGCAAACTTCAGCTGAAAAGCTCATGAAATTTCAGAGACTGAAGTCTAAAATTTGCTGGAAAAAAATTACATAAATTTGAGATTAATTTCAGAAATTTTCCAGAAAAAAATGAAACTTTTGATTTAATTTTTTTACTTTTATGAAATAACATTTCTGAGTTTGAAAAGTCAAAGCATTTTTGACATTTTAAAAAGGTTTTTTACTTGTATAAAGTAACTTACAATAAAATTTATTGGTTTGGAAAGCCAAAGCATTTGCTAGAAAAATCTCTGAAATTTTTAGATTTATTTCAGAAATTTTCTAGAAATTTCTGAGTTTGAAATGTCAAATTTCTTTTACTTTTTAAGCTCATATATATATATATATATATATATATATATATATATATATATATATATATATATATATATATATATATATATATATATATATATTTTTTTTCTTTATATATCTCTATATTTT